AAATAATAATTTATGTTTATTACAACTTGATAGTCAACTGTTTTATCTATTTATTTATTTGTCTTTCTATTATGGTCTGAAAAACCGTTTAATCTCTTTTCTTATTGTATAATCATCGTCATCAGCTCTCTATAATAGCGACCAGTAAGTACATTTAAACTCTGTGGGTTTTTAAAACTGCTGTCTAATCGATATTATATTTGTAAAGTTTTTGTATAAAAAAAATTGTAACTCACCTGCTAAACCCATAAGGATAGAATACGTCATAAACAAGCTAAATTCGACCACAGTCATCTTATACTTCGTTAAAGTATAGAGAAATATTACTCCCGACTCTCCTGTAAAATAAATGTAATTATTATCATGGATTTAAATGAAAACTCTTTTTATATTTGTATAACACATAAATATTTCTTACCATAAACTGGTCCTATAAGTACAATATGAGCACAAATTACAAGCACTATTTGTATCAGCTGGATTCTGACTGTTGTGAAAAGTAGTGAAATTGTATCCCATACATGCTTTGGATGGAAAAACTGGATTACTTTTTCTTTGAATGTTCCTTCCATATCCACTCTTTTAACATCATGCACTCTAAAATAAGTCTGAAGGAACGCTAACACATATAATACTGTCCCAATACCAAATATACCATAGTAACCTACTGCTTCAGTTAATACTCCGGATATAGAAGACCCTAACGGTATACCCAGGGTCACTATAACAGCTACAACACCAATTCTAAACGTCCGAGATTCAACAGTTGTTACATCTGCTATATAACTATAAGATCCCATTAACGCAATCGATAGTCCCCCAGAGAAAGCAGACGGAAGAGCTTCTATTAGTGCAGTTGCCCACAATGGCCATTCTATAAAGAAATACGCAGCAAATAGTAATCCTATAGCAGATATCAGTTCTCCTATAATGGGACAAAGCATGAGAGCTTTCCTGTTTCCAGTTTTATCGCTCCATGCTCCAACAAACAAAATAGCTATAGCAGGGATTCCGCTTTGCAAGGGTTGCTTCCACGCTGTCATATCTGCTACCATTTTTTGTGCACCAATTAGAGCTGCGTTAGTAATATTATCAGAAGCTTCACCACTTAATGCTAAAGAGCATATTTCCTCTGTATAGTTCAAATCTGATCGGCATGCTTTCTCCATGTTAAGTTTTTGGACTGCTAACGATGATATCACGTTTGGCATAATATAACATAGTAAGAATGGTTCCACCGTAAAAAACTTTAAAATATTTTTCACTCTGTCCAACCATGATACTTGTTCTTTGCTTTCTTCTTTTCTATCAACATCTTCCTTGTTGTTGGTATATGCATTATCTTTGTTAACATTTTCTGTTAATTCCAATTCACTTATAGTTTTATTTTGCATTTTGTTAATAATGACATCAACATGTTATATTTTCTTAACACAAAACTGTAGTGTCTGTTTGTAAACACGAGACGCAACTGGCCAATCGAAAACTTGTATTTTCATCATATCGTTATTAAGTTTAGTAGCTATGGCCAAACAGGTTAACGTTCTATGTATCCTTCAAGGTGACCACAAATACAAAGTTCAAGTGCAACTTTTTGATTCAACTATTACGAAAGTGATACATCGATAAAATTGAATACACACATTAAATTGAACTAAGCTTAAAATCCAATAAAAGCTTTATTGCATTGAAAGCTTGGACAATTTTTGTTACTTCGTACTACTGTGCAAAGTAAGACTAAATCACTAATAGTCAGTCTCAAACCGGCTTTAAGTTTTAAAATCCCTTTAAATTCAAGGGACAATTTGGTACACATCCGAAAGCGGCGAGAGGACCATGTCCCAACTACTCGTTCCACACGTCCAATTTACTTGTTAATTTTTTTTATATGCTATTTTACCATACATTTTTGTTTCCCTCAGTATCAAATTAAGGACCATTGTTACGTCTTTGGTTAGATTAGTCCTTACGAACTACACTTTTATAAAATATTATAATTATCTTTTTTACATTGAAAAAAAAATCGAAACGTAAATTTTTGCCATGAAAAACTAAAAAAGGAATTTGCCAAAGTTTGGGGGGCTTCTGTAGAAAAGAATATATGCAAAGCTATTATTTTCACAAAGTTGGTACCTGCTTTTAGGATAAATTAGTAATTTAGTAATCAAGTTTGGTATAAAAATATGAAACCGGTTATGCAATACATCTTGGTATGCCGCTGAACGAAGAATTAGTCGTAGAACTTTGCAATAAGCTCGATGTAGATAAAAATATCAATATTTTTTTTGTTTTAAGCAATTGCAAATTTAAATTGATAGTATAAGCATACTGACTGATCATTTAAATCGCATGAACAAACCTATTATTTGTTACTTAGTCGAAATAAGATTATTTATAGTGATTGTTAAGGTAATTTATTATATCTTTTAAATTTTATTGCAATGTAAAAAAAATCTGTGACGCCTTAGAGAATTATGCAAGCAATTCTTTCGAATTTGTAGACTAGAATAGTTGCTTGTAGTATTTACAAAGGCGTTTGAAGGAGTTTAGCATTTACTACATGATTTTCACTCGTATACTTTGTATATTCATTTTTTAGGATAACTCAGTTTCTGAACAAAATCATAATATATTAAAGTCATTCCCCTGTACTTGCTCCTCTAAAATGTATAAACACAAAAAGGATCTCAAGAGATTTAGGTGCCCATTCTAAATCAAGAAAGTTGTTGAAAATATGTATTTTAACAAATGTCACGGCGATGAAAACTCGATATAAAACAGTTATATATTTACCAGATAATTAATGTGTAAATAGTCATTGCAATGGACATTGTACGTATGTTCAACATTGTAATATTTGTGTTTAATTAATCGACGTGTTAAATTGACTATATAATGTTCAATGTATATATAATAACTAATTACATAGCCTGTACTAATCGAAACTATTGTGTTTACGTACTTCTATTGTAGTACGTTGTTAACAATATATACGAATTAAGAACGCACATTATATAAATTATTATTATTTCAAATAATTTAATCTAATAACTCTTTTATGCCTACGTCGATTAGTGGTTATTAATATGTAATTTACTAAAGGTATAAAGAGCTACAGTAGAGCTAGTAAGCGCTATTATAAATGCGAATTTTTAGATGTATGTATGTTTGAAGGTATCTACAGAACGGCTTAATGGTCTCGATGAAATTTGGCATACATATAGAACATAGTTTGGAAGGAACACATTGGCTAATAATTATGTTATCTTAATTCCGCGCAGACGGGGTTGCGAGCGACAACTAGTATCTATATACAATCGAAGTGGGGTAAGCGAGAGTCATTGTTCAATCCTGATGGCCGAACTCTATAAGCGAGAAAGTCGGGATAGAGAGAAACCTCAATTAGCAAGAAAAATGTGCAAGTCAGATTCGACTGTATATGCGACTGTAAACAACTGCACTGTTTCTTTAATAAAAAAATAAAAATTTCTTTGTTTTTAAATTGTAGTCGAATGTCGAGAAATGGGCGACCATATCTTAAGCCCCTTCGTACACAAGACAAAGTAAATCCAGAAATACTGGTATTTCAACTTACATTTAAAGTGGAAAATTTTATGATGCTTACCAATATAATATGTATTTATGGCTGTATAACAATAATTATTAATATAAAAGTTTAGATGGAATGGATGGATAAGTGGATATTAGTTAGAAGGTATCTCCAGAATGGTTACACAAAAGTAGAACATAGCCCTTGATGAACACATGGCTACTTAGAAGCATTTTTTTTTTATTTATTATTTCAGCGCAGACGAAGTCGTGGGAAAAAGCTAGTTGTATATAAGGCTGAAGCCACACTTTATCGTTTTGTTAGAACCTTACGTCTAGCAACCGTGATTATTGATGTAAAACCTGTATAAAGATAAATTTTCCAAATAGAATTAAATTGGTGAAAATGTGAATTTTCCAAGGTTTTTCAGCAATGAAAAGTCACGACAACATTATTGTATTTAATTCGGAGAAAAACAATTTACTGAGATATTTATGAATTTGAATATACTACGAGAATTAGATAAAAAAACCTTGATGCACAAAATTACTTTTTAATATGAGCCCATTCAATATATATTGTCAATGGGCTACAATTTAGTTTGTTGCACAATTTTTATCTTGACCGACATTTTGGGAAAAAATTAGAACGCATAATGTTATGTACGTGAGGTATTAGGAGTTGATTAAATTTTCAAGTATGTACAAAAATTGCAACATAACTGTACGCAAATATTTAACTTTGGTAAACGAGCAGGCGGCTACTTAATTCGCCAAAATGGCGAAGCAACCGCTAATGATAGACGTCCGTAATTGCAGATGCGGTGCTTACCTTTAATGGAAATAATGCTTATAATTTATATATCTTTAATTCTAATATTATTAATATGAGGGTGGAGTTAAGCTTATTCAAAAATAACCTCTTCATTTTGTTGAACCTTGCGTTGTAGTACCAAAATCGAAATAATGAAATTGTAAATAAAGTTTTTATTAAAGTTGATAAAATATCTCTGTAACGTTTTGACAAGTCTCAAGTTGGCGGAAAAACATTGGCTTTATTTATGTAAATAGAAGATATAAATAATAGAACTTGTATTATATTTTATCTTACTTCTTACTAATATTATAAATGCGAATGTTTAGACGGATAGACGGATGTTTGTTTGAAGGTATCTCCAGAACAGCTGAAAAGACCTCGATGAAATTTAGTACAAATATAGAACATATTATCTGGAAGAACACATAACCTTCCCATTAAGTATTTTTTTTAATATCTTTTTTTTAATAAAAATAAATACTATTGAGTTTTGCATGATTTAATTAAAATAATGGTGTTTTAATTAATGTTTTGTTTATAGCAAAGTGTGCTTAGCTCTGCCACGTGATAGTTTGATAAAGTACAAATTAAAGTGCAGGCGACCAGCTGATGTTGATAGCCAGTGTTCGCCGGCCATTCGCATATAATACCCGCCTCGTATTTAACTTCGTTGACAATTTAAAGTCGCACGCGCAACCGGCCGACCGTTGCCGCGATACAAAGTGAAAAATTAAAAATAATACGCATTATAATTAATTAACGTCATAGCAATATTTTTTTATTATTACACGGTTATAACAAATGAACTTTAAAGTGGGATATCTCACTCAAAATGACGTTACGGGTCGAAGTGCCCGGGGATAAAATCGTGAATGTGGAATCGTGCAAGTGCAAGAAAAACTATTGCACAGACGTCGCCAAAAATGAATCGAAATTCACTCGAAGATTAAAGGAAATAATAAAAGACACTTGGGATACCAGAACGAAAATAACAGTAGAGCCTTATGTAATTTGTTATGTTTTACCTAGCGTACTCGCAGGGTTGGCCGTGCAAAATTTGTGTTTAGAAAAATCATGCCTCGTGAATTTAAAATACGACGAACGTACCTGCACGAGTATAATGCAGGGACGGACTCACAATTATACGGAGCAAGAAAAAAGTGTTCAGACCATGGTGGCGGGAATGACCGCCTGGAGCTTTCCCTTACAGACGGCACTTCCAGGATTAATGACACTGTTCGTAGGTGCATGGAGCGATCGCACGGGAAATCGAAAAGCTTTTATGGTATTGCCTATTGTAGGAAAACTGGTATCTGTGTTCGGACTAATGTTGAGTTTGGCGTTTTTCCTCCAAGTGGGTTTGAACGAGACCGCCCTGATCGAGGGCCTGCCTCCAGCGCTGGCCGGTGGCCGGGTTGCCATGACGATGGCTGTGTATAGCTACATAACAGACGTGACTTCTGATTCTGAACGGACTTATCGTTTAGGAATTATAACAGCCATTTTGACTCTCACGAGGCCAGTAGGCCTCGCTCTCAGTGGTATTATGACGAAACGTTTCGGCTACTATGGTGTTTTTACAATTGCGTGCTTTTTTTATTTAAGTGGTTTCGTTTACATCGTCTTGAGATTGAAAGAGAAACCGAAAAAGTCAATAGATAATGATAATTCAAATACGATATTCTCTTTGTTCTCTATAAAAGACTTGAGTGCGACCATCAACGTAGCTTTTAGGCAACGCGAAGGATCACGGAGGCTTCAAATTATACTCATCATGTTGGCTTATATGTTCATCGTTGGACCAGTACTAGGTAAGTGATTTACAACTTCATTTTTAAGTAAGTTTAAATTAATATAGTTTAATATAATTTTCGCAGTTATAAAGAGTTTTGTTTACGTTAGGTTTTATCAGCAGTATTGTCGTAAAATCTTTGCAACATGTGCTCGGATCGCTTTGTTTTATTTACAATTTTTACGATCAAATGTAAATTCCTTTCAGTCTCCGCGCAAACTTTCGAATAGCACAATTGTTCACTTACATAACAATACAAAATAGTTACATTGTTGATTACCGAACATTTTACGGCTGTTTTAAAGTTTAGTATACTTCACTATATTGCAGTTCTAAAATCGATTAGGATAAGATTTCTGCAAATACAAAACGTATTATCTATTATTAAAAGCGAATATACTTTTAAAATTTGATTACTAAGTTCATCAAAATTATTTTCCGTATTTTTTTAAAACTACCATCTTTATTAGCAAACAACCTAAGTAAACAAATAAACAAATCCATTAATTACCATAAAACATAATCATATTTATTATTAGAACTATAATATTCTAATTGATTCGATTAATACAAGTTAGCATTCATTCACCATATCTTGGCAAAAAGTTTCCATTTAAATGAACTTATAGTATAATATAATTGTGCCTATAACTCGTATAAACAAGAAGGGTCATTATTTTAATGGAATTAATTATTTTAGACTAACCATCACACATTATTTTGTACGTATAAATGGAATATTATAAAATACAGATTTTAATGGTCCATTAATATAAATATTGGATTATTTTAGGGTTCCGTACCTCGAAAGGAAAAAAACGGATTATAGGATCACTATGTTGTCCGTCCGTCTTTCTGTCAAAACCCTTTTTTATTTTTGCATTTTTAAAAAGCATCTGTAGAACCATGATTTGATACTTAGTACTCATTGATAGTGTTTTTAGGGATGACTAGGCATTGGTCCCGATACAAACATTTGAGATTCCGGTGGGGTTTTAGTGAACCAAATCCCACATACCTCTTCTTCCCTGAAGGTAGGGTACCTTTGGAAGACTTTCTGTAAGAAAAAAAGAAATAACTGGGTCTAGCCACGCTGACCAAGCGCGAGTTGCTTCATTTATATATTGTTTAGAAAAATCTAGTCACACTTAAAATATCATTAATTGACGTAAAATCTAACGATTAAGAATAATGATAACCGTAATTAGGAAGTCGATTTGTACCTTTTGGTTTACTCTTTATTTGACCAATAAATCGTTCTTTTAATTATTTTAATCGTCTTTATAAAATTATCATATCTGCGATAGAGTTTTTATTTATTAAAATTGTTTTATTAAAATAATACAGATTTTTGTAACTGGTAAATATTAGTAGAGTGTTACATTTTGTAACAGCGCTTAATCGCTTTGGGAGATTTCCGGGTTCCGAAGTGACTAATTTATTTGGCTATATCGCTTTATTTTTCTTCCATAATTCTTATCAGAGTTATGTGGAACAAATATAATGCGTTAAACTAATTAAATTATTGATTACTCTGTAAATATACCTCCACTGCTTGAATGTACAATCGCTTTTGTATTGTTCTTGGAGTATACGTAATTATTTCGGCACAATGCTTGCATTATGAGTGCATTATAAATGATTATATACTGCCAAGCAATTAGGTACACTATTGCACGAAATCTTTACATCAAAACGAAACAATTTCTGTCAGACAATTATATAACATGTATCTTTTAAACGTAACATAAAGCAGAAATAACTCAGTGGCTATCCGACATACGATATGATGATCGGTGTTGTAATTACCTGTAAGCGTGTTTCTTTTTTTAGGATATCATGCTAATATTATAAATGCGTATGTTTTGATGAATGGAGGGATGGATGTTTCTTTGAAGGTATCTTCAGAACTGATGAATGAATCTTGCTGAAATTTGGCATAGATGTAGAGCATAGTCTGTAAGAACACAAGTCGTGACTTTTTTAATTTAGTATACTTTAGTTGGTATGTACACACAACGTTGAATTGTAATTTCAACTGTATAGATTTGCTCCGCCATCTGGAATGAAACAGGTTGCGAGCAATTGATTTTGGCTACTAAAATGATACAAACACGTCAAAACTCCGCGAAGCTTCTTAACTCTCCTCGTAAGCCATATATTGAAAACCACTACCCTAGTCTATGATAAAATTTACGCATATAGGTAGGTAGGAAAAGAAGTGAAAGATTAATGCAAAAGACAGGAGAGAGCATTGAATGAAACCATGACCATGACTCAGTGCGGCGTCTGTGGGTCACGGACTTTTGCCTTTTTATTTTGCTCAATTCTTAATAGATGTATAACTTACTGTGCATGATAGTAGTAGCTATCTTTAAAAAGTAAAGTATTAACATAGTATTAAAATCGTAGTAGCTTTGAGATACTGTTTAAAATGTATCAGTTTTTATCTCAGCAGTAGCTATGGAAGTCAGCGTGCTGTAATCATTTGTGCAATACATTTTGCAACATTGTTTCGGACGGATAGATGCGCTACATTTTGCAACAATAGATATTGAACATTTACGCCGTTAATCCCATTGGTACATTTATTTTACACAATAAATCTTACTAATATTATAAATGCAAATGGATAGATGTTAGAAGTTATCAGAACGGCTTCATGGATTTTGGTGATTGGCATATAGATGTAGAATATAGTCTGGAAGAACACATAGGCTACTAATTAAGTTTTTTTCAATTCTGTGCAAACGGAGTTCTAAACGACAGCTAGTAACAACATAATTATTAAAATATTGTCACTAATTAAAATTATAAAATATAATCCTCAATACTTTGTATTTTTAACCGACTTCTGAAAGGGGGAGGTTCTCAATTCGTTTGTATGTTTTTTAACTAAAAGACATTGCGGTCAGTTTAGGACCATGTATTTTTACAAGTTTTTGACGTTGTAAAATTATGATGACATTGTGCTTATCTGATGATGGAGCTGGAAGGTGGCCATAGGAACTTTACACTAAAACGACACAACCTCTTCGAGTTCGGGCTCGCTTGGATCGTTTTGACTTTTTTTATTTTTTTTAAATTTCAAGTTCTTTTTATTTTATTATACCTGTTTTCTTTGATTAAATATTACTTCGCTGTCCTTAGATGGTGTTGCCAGGCACCCGGAATAAAAAAAATTAACTTAAAATAGTTCGTTTATGTCCAAAGTTAACATAAAAACCGTTTTTATGTAAAACACAAAATGCTAATAAGATGAGAGAAATTTATTACTTTTATTATAAATGATAGTAGCGGTCGCATACGACTTTGTCAGTGTTGAATTTAAATTAAAAAAGAAGTCTATAATATTCCAGGGTGCATTAGCTACCTTCCCGTTAAATTCCCGTCAAAATCCGTCAAGCCGTTCCGAGGATTACGCGGAACAAACGCGGTCTTGCGGACATCACATAAAATTTAGAAATATTTTTTTTCGTTGTCAGTAAGAGTACGTGTACGATATTTTTTAATATTATATACAGACACTCACATTTTATTTATATGTAGATAAATATACATGTATAAAAGATTAAAATTAACATAGTATAAATGTTTAGGTAATCAGATTTCTTGTTGCTGATTGTCAGAATAAATTTTTAGCGTATCAATAAATTGCTTTTTTATTGTAATAAATACATTTTTACATAAAAACCGGAATAAAATAAATTAAAAAAAGTTCAATGATAAACTAGTATAGTTGAAAGGACTAATGTGGGAATTCTGCCTATAAGTTACAACGTTGCAACATCATCAGCTATACGTCCCCACCGAGGGGCTCGGAGCCTACCCTAAGTTAAGGGTGATTAGGCCATAGTTAACCACGCTGGCCTAGTGCGGGTTGGTTGACTTCACATATATCTTTGAATTTCTTCTCAGATATGTGCAGGTTGCATCACGATGTTTTCCTTCACCGTAAGAACGCCGGATAAATGTACATATGTAAATCGTAAATCGAAAAACACATTGGTATATGGCGGAATTCGAACCCAGGACCTGCAGATTGCAAGTCAAGTGCTTTAACCCTAAGCCACCGACGATCTTTATCGTTGCAAACAAAAAGTTAATTTTTCAACGATTGTACTAATTTTTGAATCTATTAAATTCTATAAATAAATTGTCTGCTTTCGCAGCTTGTTGGCTAGTTTATATAATTGTTATTGCAAGTGGAAATTTGAGAAAGGGTCAAAAATATGAAATTGTAAAACTTTAGTCGTGTTATTAATAAAATTACTGTCATGTATTTTTTCGTTTTGACGGCAATACAATATTTTTGGTATGGATCGTTTTTTTGCCTTGACATTTCGTTATCACTTCATACTACAAATGAATGTATGTTAGTATTACAATTTAAAATGGTATGGAACTTCAAATTGAACATTTTCTGCTATTTGGTAGACACGATAGATAAATTGTGTTCGTTCCAATTTTCTTATCTTATAGTTATTGTCTGACTTTTATTTAGAACTAAACGACTTTAGGTAATTAAAACTAACGATTCTTTTAATATTCGTCATCAGTTTGCCCTCTTCTCTACGGAGGATTTCCACGACACACTATAGTTTCAGCTCACACACACGCAATGTGTTTATCACACAATCTATCTATATTTATGTCATCACTTGTCACCCACGACTCCGTAAAAAACAATAATAGTAGCTTCTATGTCTTTCCAGACTGTGTTCCACATCTATGCAAAATTTCAGCAAAATGCATGTGGCCGTTCTGTAGATCTATAAGTTCAAACATTCGCATTTGTAATATTAGAAGAATTAGTAGGATTATCTTTCCGCATTATATGTGTACGCTAATCCGCTTGTTCAATTTCTCTATCACATGCGCTACTTTCAAACATCCTCTAACATACTCATTCTTAACTTATCTTTTCTTGTCACACCATACATCCATCTTAACACACGAATATCAGCTACATGCAATCTCCTTTCATCGTCATCCCTCTTATTATCTTTGACAAGACAGAGGTAGCTACATGTTTAAAACAGGAATATTGGTCTCAGAAACTAGAAATGCGTTTCGCACGTGTTCATTCAATGAGTAGTATTAATTTGGTTGTTATTTTTTTCTTGTACCTTGTAAAAATATATCTTGAATGTAAATGCTAGAGTATAAGCGACCTTTAATAAAATATATTAGATCTAACTGGAAATGTTAGGATGAAAGTTTACATTTTTAGGTCAGCGAGTTATCGTAAACTTTGATAGCTTTTTAACTTTGTTGCATCTTTAATGTAACTGGATGAATAAACTATTTCTAATCTTTTTTTAGGTTGTGCTAACTTTGTCCTCAACTCGGTCCGTGTGAAATTAAAAAAAAAAATTAATAAGTAGCCTATGTGTTCTTCCAGACTGTTCTACATCTATGTCAAATTTCAGCGAGATCCGTTCAGCCGTTCCGGAGATACCTTCTAACAAACATCTATCCGTCTAACCATCAATCCATCTAAACTTTCGCATTTTCTTTTTTTACATCCGAACACATTATATGTTTATATTTTACGACTGTATTCTTTTATAAAAGTATGCTATAATCAAGTATATCTCAGAGAAGATACGAATGCGTTTAGTGGAGCCTATTAAGAGAAATGTTTGCAGATTGCCGACGCTCACGGGCTCGGAAGCTTGACTAATAGATGTGTTATTTGGGATAAAGGTGAGGCGCAGATGACGTATTGGTTCACACGGTACAAGTTCAAATTCACCGAAGTCGACTACAGCTTGTTCCTCACATACTCCGTACTTGTCGGCAGCGTTGGTAAGTTTTTTTTATTTTTTTTTAATGGAAAATAAGTTCTTTTACACATTATTGGTTAGAATTCTTTGACGCGAATGCCGCGCTTTCGTTACCAAGTCTAGTCTAGTCAGAATGATTAGTGAGGCGACATAAACGTCGACATTTTAGTAAGGCTAGTGTTGCGCCAGTACACCGGCACAGTGTCGGATTTTCTTCCTAACAGTTCAAATGATGCTATTTAACGATGTGGTATCTGTTGTTAATATGAAGGAAAAGCGTTTGCTTTGAGAGAATGAATGATAGAATCGGAAGGAAATAGCTCATCACACATCGTATGAACAGTTTTAAGCTATCAGATCTCCAAAAAAACTTTTTCTTTTATAATTTTTGTAAAGTGAATACACTTTTTTTTTTAAATAAACGCAATTGTTTTCAAAATCCTCTCGTAGAGCCAAATAATCTTGCGGTTAACAGTAAGGTCGTTGATAGCGGATTACAATACAGAGTTATCGTTCATGTATACCACAAATATACAATATTTATTTAAAACTATTCATATAAGTAAATGTTTCCATGTTTATAAAGTATAAATGAAATATAAAAATACATTTTATACGACAAAGAAATAAAAAAATGCTTAATACTCGAGCATAAATATATTGTAATACTCACAGAACTGGATGGCTTCAATTTGAAGTAAATAACGATATATTATGTAATAACTATTTTATGTATTTATCATTCCGCAAAACATTGTAATATATAAGCAATTTATTTATGTAGTCTATTAATAATTTACGATGAAATTGTCAATATAGTACATTTTAATACAATGAAATAAATCGTAGTGCCTGTCTCATAAAATAAAATGTGTCTCAGTAGACATTTTATGTGTCAAAATATAGTGATTTTATTTACCGTGGAATTCACCACCGACTCGGACAAACACGTAAAAAACCGAGATAGCACTATTCTGTAGATGTGCTACAGCATTGGAAACTCCCAATTATAATAATTCAATCACAACGTTCACTATATAAAATAGTGTAAGTATACTTATTATATTAAAAAAAAAATACAATATACACAAATTAATCGTTTCACCTAATATAATATCGGTAGTGGTAGACGACTGCAACAATATTTGCTGCACGAATAGACTGGCTCGCCTGGTGCACACGACCACACAGAAGGCAGGCGTCAAGTGGAAGCAATTCCGCGTTTCGTCTGATGAATGTGCGCGTCGAAGGACTAATTTTGGTTGCCTTTCCCTGGCCAACCTTTTATAAGGAAAGGATGGGAAGGGGAAATGAATTTGATGGATACGGGGACGCTTGGGAAAGGAGAAGTATACTATCTTTGCGTGCTCCATCGATTAATGGTAGGCAACGCATCTGCAATTTCTGCTGTATAAGTGCAGCGCTTGCTTCGTTATTTTGACAACTTCAGGTAATTGCTTGCTCGTTTGTCATCTTTTGTTACTCTTTTTAAGGCCATCATAGTAATTTCAATCTTTATCTCCCTGTTTTTAGTAGGGTTAAACTGGCACGCAAACCCTGTATAGACTAAGATCGGTATGGGGATCGGCTCGCCAGTTTTACGTCCTCCTGATTGATTTGTGACTCGTCATTTCCTTCTTAATCATCTCCCACTTCACGTAATTCATCCATTTCTTCCTACATCTATCCCTAACCTAATGTCAATCTTAAATATCTCAACAAAAAGAAGAAGAAAAGCAAACATAATTTAACTTGTTTACATCTTGCGCTGCGTTTTTCTCATAAATTGTTTATATTAATACTAACTGACTAATGAACTGTGAAATTTCCTTAACGTCATTTAAATGTTAACAACATTAATGGACGTCGCCTTTGTTAATGATAAGATTGTCACAGCAACAGAGAAATTGCTGTTAACTAAATATAAACAAAACGATAGATGAGACATTAACTATATAATTATTTGTTTGTCAAATATTTATGACAGCGTGCGAATGTTCCATAACTGACATGTGTGGAAAGAGAATTGTGGTATTCAATCAGTTGTATGAATAAATATATTCATCCTTCAAATTCAAGTACATTTGAGTGATAAAATAAATTTTAAAACACATTAATTTTGTCCCGGAAACAACATTAATTTTACATCGAATTTCAAAATTTATGGCAATTTAATAAATTAATTATTTTTGATTTATTATCAGCGTATGACAAAGTATAATATTACAATTATATATCCAACGTAACAGGATATGATGTGAGTAAAAAGATCATCTTGTTTTCATCTGACGGATAAATAATTGGGTTCGATTTTAACCGACATCGTAAAGGAGGTTCTTATTTCCGTATTAATCACATTAAATAGCCTACATTTCCTGAACAATAAATAATTTGAACGATTTTTCATAGCATTCTTTTATCGTGAGTTAATAAGGAGTTCAAACTTTCACTATTTCTTCTGTCGATAATAAATGCGACTAAAGGCACGTTTTTAATAAAACCACGTGTGAAAAAACAGCCTTGGCTTTGTTATTCTCACAAGTTTATTCTGTTCTAAATCTGTTGTTAGTTTTTACATTGTATTTATTTATATTTGCCAATAGTTCAATTTAATCTATTTATGTCTGAATAACTTTATAATCTATCATCCCGCTTATTTCTTATCTGTCGGTTAAGTCGTTCCACAGTATATTCATATCTGTAAAGACTTTAACGTAGACTTTATAAGTGAAGAGACCGCAGCCCATAGACATCCGCATTTGCAGATACCTTGCCTACCTATAATCGATAAAAGAAGGGCACGCATTGGAAAGAGAAATATCATCCTCCTGCGCCAAATCAGTAGGGACAGGATGACTAAAATTAGGCCTCCGTCACGCGAAATCATCAGACGAAACACGAAATTACTTCCATTACGGTATTTCAACAGTCAAGTCGACCAATTCGTGCAACAGAATATTGTGTTTACTGTTAAAACCATAAATATCCGTATTGTAAATAGTAAATGATTCACGACAAAACATTTTGATGCAAATGAACTCAAGGTAATAAAACCAATATTTATAAAAAGATTTATAGTCTTTAAGTGGTTACATAAACGTTCTTTTGTGTTTTATCCTACATACTAAATCTACACTGGCGTACTCATATAACTAATATTATAAATGCGAATGTTTAGGTAGATGGATGTTTGAAGGTATTTCCAGACCGGCTGAACGGACCTTGCTAAAATTTGGCATGAATGTAGAGTAACGTCTCGAAGAACACATAGGCTACTAATTATGTCGCTGGCGACAGCTTGTTTGCTTAATAAGTCTGAATATGGTAATTAGTGTAATACTGTAATATACCAAAAATAGCATTATGAGGACGTCATTTTGAATGTATTAACTAACTTGATTACAAATTGCACCAGGTGCAATATTCAGTATTGAAATTAAGGTATAATTTAATTTTTAATTATCTCCAGGTTCGTTCATCACGCTGTATCTGTTCAGCAAGAAGTGGGAGATAGAGGACAGCGCTATCGGAGTGTTCGCGTGTCTGAGCAGGGTAGCTGCGAGCGTGGTGTACGCGCTTGCGCCAACACGCACCATATACTTCCTCGGACCAGTGCTGGACATGTTCAGCTCGGCAGGAGCAACCTCGCTAAGATCTCTTGCCACAAAACTTGTGGAAGCGGATGAAGTCGGTTAGTACACATATTTTAACAAGTATGTCTAGATTTTTTTATTTTATGGTGACATACGGCCATGTAGCCACTGTAACTCGTTGAAATATTTAAACGACCGCTGCCCATAGACACTCGCAATTATAAATACGTTGCCTACCTAATTGACGGACAGGGGACGCACAGGCATAGAATATGTCCCCTTTTTCCTTCAAATACGATTTTTTTATAAGGAAAAGATGGGACGGGAAAGAGGCTCTGGAGACTAAAGTTAGGCCTCCGTCACGCAAATTCCTCAGACGAAATCCAAAATTGCTTCCACTTAATGCCCGCCTGTTGTGTGGCTGTGATTTGCACCGCACGAGCAGACTCATTCTTGCAACAGATGTTGTTGTTGGCATCTACCAGTTTGCTACTGTTTACTCGAGCTTTGAAAGAAAATATGATTGAAATCTAACTGATTTAGAAATTTTCTCTGTTAGGTTAGGTTAGGTGAGTAGGAAAATAAAACTCATTTAGCAGGTATTAAGATCATATTTATAGTGAATGAAACTTACTTGCTAGATATCTGTAAGGGAAATGTCAACAGTGTTTTATTGCAATATAATTAATATTGGACATTCTTGCATATTTTCATTATTTATTTAGTTAACTAACTTTCCATGTTGAATGAAACATTGAGTGTTATGATGTTAAATATGCCAATCATTTGCCAACTTTGTTTCTTTACATAAGGAATGTAAAGAAACAAAGTATGATAATAACAAGCAACAATCAGTTCCCAAGCATTTTCCGTAAATAAACTCGCAAATATTATGACGAACAATGACGATTCTATGACACGGCCACAAAGTGACAGTGACACTTCAGATTTATCTTCCTGTCATATATATTGACTTTGGGATATAACTGACGTAGATGTGCAAGGTTATTACTAACTACTTATAGTTGAAATAAAATAAAAAAATCAAATAATAGGATAGTTAATATCAAGTTCATGGAATATAAAGTTTGGCATAAAATTTACATGTGCATAAATTTAAATATTTTATTTATGTTATCAATAATGGCCAGGAATTAAAAATAATGCATATATTATAAAGTTTGACAACCGACGTAGAATAAACTCGAGTAAGTCAAGACTCGTCTAGCCAAGGGTCTCAACTAAATTTCATGACCTGTAGATCAACTTACAATTTCCACGTGTGAACCTGATCTGTGAACCGGTTCGCAGTTCAGCATAATTTGAACCCATATAGATGATTAGACTCGCACACGATGAACACAATATTGCGTTGATCAAGTTGAACCGTGAGCTGGAAATTTAGTTAATGAGTCGCAGATCAAGCCTCTCTGATATGAACTTTTGAGCCGGATCAGAGCTGATCAACACACATCATCGTGTATTGTCCCTGAAATAATAATACAAATATATTTCAATGTTTGCAGTTTACAATGGAAATTCACCTTAAACAAGTTTAGGATTACTTCGGCTTTGAAAAACTTCAGTGGGTAAAACAAATATGTTCATAGCAATAAAGTAATTTTAAAATATTCCATGTCATGCATATGGTTTGTTAGAAGACTGGAACAATATGTTCTATTATATTCGTGACCTTAGCAAATTTAAATATACAAAGCCAATCACAATTAGTAATCTATTGACAATTATACAAAGATTTCTACGCAATTTAAATAAAGCGCTGCATTTCATTTCGTAAAAATTACCGTGGATAAAAATATTTAGATATGATTTTTTTATACTTTTACGTGTTACGGTCATAATTTCAATAGCGAATTTAATGTTATTATTCAAATGATTGCTAAGAAACATTTTATTACCTAAAAAAATGCGAATGAATCGATAACCTCCTTCTTTTTGAAGTCGACTAAAAAGATTTTGACTCTCGAATGATTAATGCGTTTGATACTAAATAAAAATTTAAACAATTAAACATCTCTTCATCTGAATGTTTATGCGTTTTGGCGAATTAATAATTTTTAATGCGAGATAAAAATGTTATTTAAATACCAAATAGGCTATAAAAACATAAAAAGGTCAGATTTGGATATCTTGTATAAATAAATATTTAATATATTTAACGTTTATTGTTTATTTTCAGGTAAAACGAGCTCATTAATAAGCATATCGGAAGCTCTGGTACCCGTCATCTACACGCCCGTGTACAGCAAGGTTTATCTAAGCACGCTGTCGACGTTCTCCGGAGCCTTTTATCTTATTAGTGCAGCGCTGGCAGTACCCGCTATAGGAATATTCTTGTAAGTTTTAACAACTTTTTTTATTATTTTTTTATAACTGCAAATTAAACGGACTGGTTTCACTAACCCTGGGTTTTCTTTAGTAAGTAAATAAGAGTCTTAAATCTATGATATTAAATAAAATATTATAAACGAATAATTAATTAAAATATATTATTAAAAGAAATCCCTTTAGGAAAAGTTCCGAAGATACTGGCAGCGTTCCCTTTGAATAGCTATACTAATTCTTTGTCCGAGGTAGCTGTCAGCTCTTCGTTCCCCTGTGATGTCGATTAACTTTTTTGATATTCCTTAAAAAGCCTTAAAACGCTAGGACCCGACGGACCAAGGGTCTCGACACCGAATGGGATAAAATCATTTAAAACACATTGTTAATTCTGTTTTGTTAAAGATAAGATTTGACAGACATGACGATGTTTTATAAAGAGGTTTTGGTCTCAGAAACTAACGGTTAGTAAGCGAAGTAACTGCTGCCTTTCGATGTAAGTTGTTTATTACAGTTTTTTAAATTCAGAATTGGTTCCGTTTAATTAATCGAATTTTTATAGAGTTTATTTTATTTTTTTAGATTTTTTTCTCTCAATTTTAATTTAGTGTAGAAAATTGCTTTTAAAACTTGGATATAGTGATCAGATAATGAATGAATAATTCGCGCTTTAATTTGAATTAAAAGTTATTGTCAGATTTATTGAATAAAACTAATTTAACGGATTTGGCGATATTGAAAGGAATTTTGGTAGGGGAGTCAAAAAATCAAGAGTTTTTTCTATAATTAAAACGTCTATTATAGTGCAGCTAGATGGATAATAATGAATATGACATTTTGTGAACCTTTGATGGTCTTGTCCGTTGAAGAATAATGGCGGAACAGTTTTCGTACTATCTTTGTTTCTTCTAAGAATTTAAATGAAACTGCAATATGTTTTTATACATATTTCTGCAGTGTAAACGGTAATACAAAAGCCAAATGTCATGACCGAATACGAATACTTTCACGTTGACTATCGTTGCGCCGAGCAGTAATAGCATTTCGAAACTAAAGCAAAAAGAGACCTTGCGGTCAGTTCAACAGTTTGCCCTTAATTTTATTGACACAAAGTAATGTCTGTCGATTTCTAACACAATCAAAGCCTTGAACCGTCGTTTTCTTTGATAATTGTTATGATTTATGTGACTGGTGTTTATTTTTTTTTATACAATGAGTCATAGCAGAAATTGGGCTTACACTGCTGGAACATACATGAAAAACATAACTGTATGTTATTTCAGATTTTTTAGAGAAAAAATTTGGCTATGGAAATCTTCATCTTTAAAGTAGTTAATGTTTTATGTTCTTTTAATATTATTGATGTATTAGCGATCACCCGCGACTTCATCAGACCAGAATTTAGAAAAAGCCTATAACTTCACACATATCTTTGGAGATTATAGATAGGTACACAAAATTATTAAAATCTCTCTATACATCTGTCGTACAGATGTAAAATACCTTTGCTAATTGGATCCGTGTTCCCTGAATTTATTAGTTTATGATGAAGTTGGAACAACGAGGAATGAATGTATAATCTGTATTACGACAAATAGATTTAATAGAAGCACCTGATTATTAAAGCAAGCATTTTTATTTCTTTTGTAAACATTAGTTTGTTTATTACTTGTTTTTGGTAGCTGAGAATTAGCGCAAATATGCCATCTCCTTAAAGTCTGACTACTAGTTTCTTAGTTTTTAGATGATAAAAACATCAATAAAAAAACTATAGTCAATATTAATGATAATTCAAGTAGTGAATTCACGAATTAATAATTATTTAATTTATTTTAACACATAAGGTCTGCTAAAAAATAACATGGTTTTCCACTTACGTCAATAAATTTTATATACAACTGGAGATAACCTTTAACGTGATAATTTAACCATTTTAATTCATGTGGGATCTTAAGCATACTTATAATTATTAACATACCAATCCTGAAATAGATATTAAAATGAACGTAATAAATATAAAACATACGATGCGTGCCGGAGGCCTTATTTTTGTCCCCTTTCCATTCCCACACTTTTGTTATAAGGAAAGGATGGGAAGAAATGGATTTGACGGAGGAGTAGACCGATTACTCTGCGTCCCCTCCTTCGCAAATCCTCTCCCTCCCCTTTCTGGGGATATATCCTTTTTTGTGTGTCCTATCTTTCAAAAGCTCACTATATACATACGTCTCTACTGAGGGGCTCGCCCATAGTCAATCCTCCATCGTAGAAAGGTAGGGCAGGCTTCTGCAAATGTCGTCTCTATTCAACGATCGCTTCGCTATTTCGGCGTATTCTGTTGACCGCCTGCTCGTTTGCCACCATACGATATAAAAAATATAATATGTCGTTTCTTTGCTAACACCATTTCTTTTCATTAATAATGATAAATAAACAAATATTATTTATATATTTACAGATCGTTGTTCAGTTTACGAAGAAAAGAAATCAAAGAGATGTCAGCTACAACAAACAAGACAAAGGAAAACGAAGTAACCCGATTTTAATTGATATTGTAGAAATTATTTGTTGTGTTATTTGAATTACATTTATACTGAGTTGTGGAAAGTATGTCATTTTCGTAATAAGTTAACTATGGATATGTTCAGGAGGCTAGACATAGTGCATTCGCTTCCAAGTGATTCCATAAAGAGATTCAAAAATATATGAAATCGACGCGATAATCACCTGACTTATAGAAAGTTATTTTCAGTTCTATCAATTTTGAAGTTCGCTATGGAGTCGCTTCGAAGCGAATGCACTTTGTCTAACCCCGGTCAACTTACTACTAAATGGTAGACCTACAAGTGGTTTGCTTGACTCTTGTAATAATAGGTAGAAGTTTTACGACATGAAAGCTGTATGCGATTTACGGAGCAAAGGGACTTTAGCCCTTATTTTGTGATTTCTAGTGTTCATATGAAGTAAATTTTAAGAAAAAATGATAATTGTTCTATATAAATTATTCTTATAGGCATCATTAACGCCTTGTTCGGGGTTAAGCTAAATGTTATGTTTGTTTTTAATTTGTTTATAAACTCTTTCAGTGGGTTTCTTAGACCAAAATCCCCGTTTAAAACATACTATCTCTGTTTTTTCAATGATAATGACAAGGACAACGATATGTTTTATACAGAGATTTTGGTCTCGCAAACCAAAGTTGGACCAGACCCGCTGAGTTCTACATAAGTCAAGTAAAGGGCAATGGCTTATATTGTAATAATAATAAATATTAAAGACATGAATGCAAATTACTGGTTTCTTCCTGCGGTGCATTCGCACGGCGAAAACATTTAAAAATAAATTGTGATTTTTTTGTTTCCATTTATGAACGTGTTCTGTTTTTATTACAGATGAAGATGTTTTTGTAAATGTTTTCGACAGTGTGAACGCAGGGTTAGTTATATATGTTTGTGTGGATTGTATATTAGTTAAAATGTTCCATATTACAGTTAAGTGTTGTTCTGTGTGTATGATCATTTAAGGTGGTTGTGATTCCTAGATATCTGAATGTAATACAACTCTTTTTGAATTAGTTTTCGAACTATGTTTAAAGAAAGTTCATCCCTTACTCCAAATTAAGTCTTATTTGTTTTTAACCGTTGATTTTTGTGTTATAATTTAACCGATTGTAAAAATATTAAAATAATAAACTATTTAAACAAACCCCTAGTTTTTTTAATGTATAATACCACCGTAACCTCGTAGACTTAATTCCAGAAATACGCTAAAAATATATTTTCTGTATTTTTAACCCCGACGATAACCTGTAGGTTGCTAGTTAATGGAACGGATTAAAATACTATTAACACACATTTCTTCTTATTAAAAGCTTAATAAATATAAAAGAAATTTGCATTAAGTAATTTATAATCATATAACTTGACCTGGACGCAATCACATTTAAGTAAATGACGGAGTATAGAATGGTCTGAAGGACATACCGGCACATACCCTATATGCGTGGGACAAGGACAGGGATATGATGAATTTCATCTAATTTTATCTCTTTCTTGTGGGTTTTTCTTTCTGAAATATCTGTATAAAATGAACAGTATTTATCAGTTACAAGAACTCCACTGAACGTACTCTAAAAAACTCAGGGGAAAATATACAACTCACTTGTCAAATTCCAAGCCGTCCTTTTGTAACCGTGAGATTCCGAGAACAATATACCGTCATTATCTTTGAGAAACAGAGATAACAATTTTATACGGGTTTTGATCTCGGAATGTCACGGTTAGTTTTTTAATAATGAGATGGACATGTTTTTGATATGTATTTATGCCAGTGGTTTCCAAACTTATTTTGTCTACTGCCCACTTTGAGAATAAATATTTTTTTAGCGCCCCCCATATTTTCACATATTTAAAAACCACTATAACTTCAAATTAAATTAAATATTGTGACCTATATATGTATATTAAAGGAGAATTCTAAGCGAAACTTTTACTATAACCCGCAACTTGAGACCTGCAGCGCCCACAAGGGGGCGTTTTCGCCCACTTTGGTAAATACTGATTTAGGCAATGGAAATCTAGTTATTAGAACTATAATTGTTTCTTCGGACACGTGTAATGTTTTAACACTTAAGTCATTATGATAAGAGATAAACTCGTAACCTCACATCATAACATACATAGTAACTACTTAGCCAAGTGTTAATAGATTATCGCTTTAAAACACAAAATAATTTACATCAAAGGACCATTTATAAATGCCTATAACTAAAATGTTCGAATTGTATCCTGGCATTGAGTTTCCATACTCGAAACCAGTATTAAAACATGTTTTTATTTGTTGACAATGTATTTGCGACTTGTTTAGCGAGAAACCTCTTTACGCGAGAATAATCCGGTCTCGAAGGACCACCTCTATAAGCGAGAAACTTTGGTAAGAGAGAAACCTTTGCTTTATACTAAAAAAAAAACTAAGTCCTGATAATTCTGTCATCTAGTAGTATAATACATCTCCAATAAAATGTTGTAAAAAATCTAAAATTTCAATTTAAAATTCAATGTCGGTTTTGTTATAGATTTTTCTTCCGGTATTTCATTATTTATTAGCATTCTTATATATCTTCCTTGTTGGTCGGAAGGTAATTTTATACCGAGAGCTTCACAATTCCGGACTATCTCTCTGCAACCTCGGAGATCGCGGTTTCTCACTGAAAATTAAAAAGAAATAATTTAATTAAACTAACAAGCTACATATGTGCCAAATTAATGTTAAATCCTTTTAAAGTTGTACCTTGATAGGCGAGAGTCCAAGATACCGCGATATAAGCGAGAAAACTTACATTACATTTTACCTGAGTTTCTCGCTGATAGAGGTTTCTCACTTATCAAGTTTTGACTATAGCTGTTTTTTAAGGTTAAAGTTAAATTTTAACAAACATCATCTGTTTATCCAACCATCTAAACATTCACATTTATAATATTAGTAAGAACAGTTCACTTACATTTGTAATTAAAAAGCAATTGTAAAACTTTAGTATATTCTGTCATCATTTTATATTTAAGTAGCGACTGCATTAAGCTCACCACAGCATCTTCGTTGTACTCCCTTAAAATATTAATACTAAATATTGTTGCCCTGAAAAAAAAAGAAAATCAATCACAACAACATAACAAATATCTTTTATATAATAAAATGTATATTTTTTCCTTTTAAATCTATGGTTTTTCCTCATGTGTACCAAAATATGTGGACAGACATTTTACTAAAGTTTAATTAGTTCAAAAACTCTTTTAAAAAGACTCTTATTGAAGAGTGGATCAATCTTAGTATATAGCCTTCACACATAAGCAATGCACCAATGATTAGGATAGTATATTTTAAGGAAAAAACCTAATATTACTACTTACTTGTCTCTAACTATATTTTGTAATTTTTCAGATGTCTCCAATAGCTCATTAGATAGCATTTGATCAGAAAACCAAGTACTAGACCAACACATATGCCAAAAACATACAAGTGGATAATCATCATTCCATTTCTTACTAAATTCTAAGACATACTTCTTAAAAATAACCAAAGAGGCCTCAGACCTGTTTAGAATGGTATCTTGTATTAATTCTCTAAATATTATTCTATAGAAACCTCTTAAACCTTCATATTTCTTGTAACAATTTGATAATATTGTAAGACCTTTTTCTGCATTACCTTTGAAACAATGAGCTTTCGCCAAATAATGTAAAAATTCCCCATTACGCTTATAAAGCCCGTAATCAACATTATAGCAGTATTGTTGGAGAATAACGATAATGTCTGGCTTTCCGGCAATGCTATAAGTTCTAAATAATCTCTTTATAGTGTTCATACTTATCAATTTCCTATTATTAGTACACATTTTTACCAAATCTACAACTTGTTTGTTCTTATTCTTTGATAAAAGGTCTAGTAAGCTATTGTCAATCTCTTCATTTGTCATTTCAACATAATTGTTTGTATTATTGTCGTCTTTGCTATAGTAACTCAATCGAATTTCTTTCCCAGAAAATAAATTACTTACACTACATATGTCAGACTTTGGTTTATCTTGTTTTAATAATTCATTTGTAAATACATCCATAACATCCACGGTTGAAGTAAAATTGTGTCGTATTGTTGGTAAACATCGTAATTTACTTTGCAGCATGGAAGGTGATCGTAAAAATTTTAAAGTTGTTTTTATTTTATTGACCTGCATTTTATAATCCACAATATCGAGTTTACTTTATATTAGTCTTAATTAACTATATACACTACATGTTTAGTTACAAACAGAAAAATTTATAAAATAAATAATATCAGAACTAAAAACAAATAATATGACACAACACCATCAGACAATGATTTACAAGTCTGACAGTGACAGTTACGTTGTCAGTTGTCATACCAAAGTCCATTATGTATGGAAAAATAAAAACTATATAAATCATCTATGACTCCCATTAATTTTGACTATTAGTCGAAAAAACGCTGAAAAACTATTCTATTTTTGCATTTAATAATTAAAAGACCACAATTTTAGATTTCGGTTTAAATGTACGATGGCTTCATCTGGCGCCATCTATCTTGTAGTAGGCACACTAATAATTTCCCCGAAGTAACTTTGAAGTGTTACTTTTGCCCAATAGATGTCTATGTACAATTTATAATCGTTATTTTTTTGGATAAATCGAAAATTACATTATCTTGGGTGAGCTCTGTCGGATCTAAAATATATCTTTGAGCGGGTTGGTAGTAGACGACCATAGTATAATTACCATCCATGTGTCATAAATGCAACTTTGTATCATCATCATCATCATCAGCTCACTATATGTCCCCACCGAGGGGCTCGGAGCCTACCCTAAGTTAAGGGTGACTAGACTAGGCCATAGTAATATACATTTAGGTAAAATCAATGATTCTAAGGCTTTTTAAGGTCTGATATAAATTACAAAACAAAATCTTAGTGCGTGAGGAGAACAAAAATATTCTACCAGTCAAGCTTTTATCCTTTATTCAACGTGGAACGGATTACTTATTTTATTTGTCTACATATAACCTGACGCGCTTTTTTTATTTTTAAAAAGTAACCGCCGTCAACGATCGGTTATCGATTAAATTGGTGCTATTAGTCGTTAATGTCAAGTTAACAGCGGGTGGTGACCGTGGTACAAACTTAAAAGTTAGATTGACTTATCTGGCCCGACATGAGAGGCGCTGCTGTCGCGGTTTATATCCGAAAGTACGTAAAATCTATTCAAACATACAAAATTACATAAAAACCAAGACATGATCAGACAGCTACTGTTTAAAGATCTAGTGACACTTTTTTATATCGGCATAGTGGTAGGGTTGAGCTAAGCAACTATTGTAATATAGTTAGTTATCTTCTTTTTTTCACCGGGCCATATAAGTTTAACCTAGTTAAACGTACAATGCGCTCGCGTGTCGACGACTTGGCTGCTAAAAGCTTGAATGAAGAAAAAAACATACTGTGAACGTTACGGTCGCGTTCAATTGTTTTATTGAGTTTGATTTGAAGGTATGCATAATTTTGGCAGATTGACTGATTAGGAAGAAATAGTTAATTCTTCTTATAAGTCTTATGAGAACTTGTTTTATAAAAAAAAAAAGAAGTACCTAGTATTATTGTCATTATCTATATCTTATTTAATAAATTATCATTTTAAAAATTCACTAATTATCATTTGTAAAGCAGTCTCAAAAAGTCTCCCTCTCACTGGAGATGTATCGAGTAGTCACAATGAAACTCTGGTTATGTCTTGGTGCGAGTCAACTTTAATTAAATGCGATCGGCAAGTCGATAAATATACCAAATAAATCAATATCGTGATCTAGTAATATGTTCCGCCATCTGTTGCCATAATATTACAAACTAAATTGTCATAACATTTGACATCGTTTAAAAAATTTACTAAGTTGCAATTACTGGGCTAGATTTAGCATTATAATGTTTGTAATTATTTATGAATATTATAAATGCTAATGTTTAGATTGATGCATGAATGAATTTCGATTAGAAAGTTCTTCAGAACGGCTCAATCGATCTCGCTGAAATTTGGCATGGATGTAGAACATAGTCTGGAAGAACACATACGCAACTATTTTTTTTTGGCGCAGAAGGAGGCGCGGTTGACAGCTAGTTACATAATAACTATGGTACTTGATGTCGTAAAATATGACTGAGTTATAAACCAATTAATCTTACATTAAATATGGTCATTAATTTATTCAATGATCACATAAAGCCCTCTTTAAAATGATCACCATAATTATCATAAATTAACCATTAATGGCCATAAATTAACTTGTAATTAGGTCTATCATGGGTATTTCTCGATTACCATAAATATGTACGGGTACAATATTTGCCTTGTTAATGAAATCTTACGTCAATTTTCACAAATTTGCAATTTAAAGTTTTTCCTAAAAAAAAATCGACCAGCATCTCTAAATATTAGATTTGTTTCTAGTGTTTAAAGGAATGTAAATAATAAATACAACTCACGCCTGTAATCCAGTGAGGTAGGCAGAGACCACTGATCTCCAGTAGACGAGGCCCAACGAACCGCCGCTATCCACTTTTCGCCATTTCGGAAAACGAAACGTGACGGATGGCGAGCCGCATCGCCGTCGTTTACTCCTGGGAATTCACACATATCTTTAAAATTTCTTTTCCGATACGTGCATGTTTCATCGCGATGGTTGAACCATGAAAAACGTCGAATAAATGTACATATAAACTGAAACCACTTTGGTACACGGTGGGATTCGAACCCAGGACTTGCAGATTATTAGTCAAATGTTTAACCCCTGAGCCACCGACGCTCTTTATAAAAAAAATGTATTACGGAACAGATTAATTTTTGTAAAAATATACTCTCAAATTAAATTGTACTTTACCCTATTCAAACTATGTCGTAACAAAATAAATTTATCATGATTTATTAAGGTCTTTTCTTACAACGTACCGGCAGACACTTCACGGCAAATACATCTTCAATTAACGTTCTAATTAGTCAAATTAAAATAGGATTATAATTTCTTTAGCGGCACTAATACAGCATTAGTGGTTGAAATAACCAGATTAATATGACACCTAATTGTTACTGCATTTGTATATATTACCAAGGATGCTGGTGTCTATTTAAAATGGTAGTTGCTGGTTCGTATTAAATGTACCCGCAGTCATTCGTGAGCTTCACTCTTTAATCGAATGAGTTATGCTTCGTTCGTTCTCGAATGCAGTTATTATCGTTGACAATAATTTTCTAGACAGCTTTATTAATGAAAATGTTGTCTTTTGTGTCAGCTTTTAAACTGAAATTGTACCACTGTGCGTTACAGATCCCACTTTACTTATACAAGTGTAACTACGATACAGAAACTTACATTATAGACTTATTAAGTAGTAATTCGATAGCTCCATTTAAATAATCGTATACGACAATTTTTTATTTACAACTTTTTATATTATAAGGAGACAAACGAGCAAGCAACCACCAGCGTTGTTAGACAAAGTACATTCGCTTTGAAGTGATTCCATAGCAAACTGCAGAATTGTTTGTAACTGACGCGCGACAATCCACGTGACTTATCGAAAGTTAATGTTAGTTCTGTACATTCAAGGCGAATGCACTTTGCCTGACCTCGCTGATTCGATAAAGTAACGAAGCGACCGCTGCCCATAGACATCCACATTTGCAGATGCATTGTTTTTTTTTGACGGGAAGGGGGTGAACTCTACATAGTTACCTGTCTTCTGGGGGAAAGGATTATGTGAGACTGGACTTACTAAATGCAAGTGGTGAGAGTCCCGGAATCTGCAAAGGAACGCACCGGGCCTATCCGCACAGGACTCCTGCACGGCCAGCAGATGACTTGCCTACTTATTATTGACGGAGTAGAGGACGCACAGAAATAAGTGTAGATTTTGTTTGTCTATCGTATGTTCATGTTTGCGTCGTAATTAATCGTATTAATATTTTTCATCTTTCAAAAATTGCGTTTTAATCATCCGAGAATTTATGAAGGAGCTATCGAATTATGAACTTAATGTACGCAGGAATGCATATAGAACTGTTAGCGTAAGACTGATTCTAAGACCTAGAATGCGTAATAACCACAAAACCGCAGCGAGATAATTTAAATGTGTATAAACAATATAACTTATAGAATAATATCCTTGCGATTTATTAGTTTATATTCAAATTAAAGAACTTAAGGTTGCTAGGAAACTAAGTATGTGTAAAATATAGTAGCATACCATGGTGCCTGAGTAGACGACAAAACAAAAAAAAACAGTGAAGTTAGCTAGTTTTCACCACTCGGAGAGTTTTGTAAATTTTTCCCTACCGTAGTAGTTACAGTGGGTGCCAACCGGCCTAGCCAATTCATACATTCGTTATTAAAATTTATGCAAAAGTTGTAATATTAAAAAGAAAGAAAGCTATTGGAACTCCTTCCTTGCATTTCAAAGAACAAAAGGTCGGTATCAGAGAAATAAAACTATCAAAATATCACGCTTTGTATTACTATTTTATTCATACTCTGGAATAGGAGACCATTAAAACAATTCAAAGCTCCTTATTCTGACGCTTCAATAGAATTGAATATGAAACATTTTTAGTGCGTTTGAATACTGAAATTGTCACAACTGGATAGCACAATATATTCACAAAGGCGCGTCGATTACGATACAATCTGAATAGGTGAATACTTTGATTTTTAAAAGACAGGACTTGTCATGCATTCTCTGACAAATAAAAATGAACAATAAATTTCTAAATTTGCTCTACTTATTTGTGTATATTCTGAATTAGTATGCGGTTATAAACACTTAAATTTTGACGTGACAGCATGTTATACGCTTGTGTGATTGCCTCTGCGAACACTGGCCGAGCTTATATAGTACAACAACGGCTCATTGCCATGTCCGTTTCTATATAGTCAAAGGGTGAATTGTATAGATTATCGATGCACACTGCGTTATGTTACCCTCATTGTGCTGTCGACACCCCGGCAACGAGACGGTGAACTGGACGTATTTAAAAATAAGAATAGCCGCTATTTCACGCCTGTCTTGTAATGACATTATCCTATCTATCCTTTTATTCCTGATTATTATCTATTGTTGCTCAGACATGAGAGAAAAATTCTTTTGTATAAGGTTGAAGTCTATGTAATTCCGCCGAGCGTGAAAAATGTTATACCGTTGTACAATATTTTAAATTATACTACAAAACTATGCGTTACAAAATTTAAAAATAAAACATAATATTAGCGATTTTTTTTATATCAAAAGGTGGTAAACGAGCGAGCGGCC